ATGAGCGCTCCGAGTCCAGGCCCTGCCTCGAGCGCCCCCACCATCCGCCGGCTCCCACTCGCCGCCTGCTCCCACTCGCCGAGTCCTGCGTGAAAAATTTGCGCGCACACAATTTTGGGCAACTCCCAGTACTTCTAAATATGTTTGGCCAGAATTTGCGATTTATAAGTGTTAATATTTTACTTTATGGATTTAATTAATTATTTTAATGTCTGAAATAACATCTACTGAACAATTAATTAAAAATGCTGAAAGATACGTCGATCTAGAATTAAAACGCGATCATCAGCTCGATCCAAAATCCCAGTACTTCTAAATATGTTTGGCCAGAATTTTCGATTTTTAAGTGTTAATATTTTACTTTATCGATTAAATTAATTGTTTTAATGTTCCAAACACCTACTTTATTAATATTTCTAAGGGTTGCTTTTGGAACCAGCAGGGGTTAGCGGAGAACCTCTGCCCGCCAAGCTACGCGTTCGTTTTCACGTTTAGCTCGGCTGCGACGGGATTGACATTGTCAACGGAGGCGGTGATCGCAAAATCCTACTTCCAGACTCGCCGCTACGATTTAGCGCCAATATTTTGTTACCGCCTCAAACCGTAGCGTTGTGCATCTCTCTAGTCATTTCTGCTGTTTCATTGCTCTACTCCAATCTGATTGTTTTATTATTTATGGTTTCGGAGTACGTTATTTGAAATTTGAAAGTCGTGCATGTATAATTATAAAGTGATAGCCTCTGTCAGTGCAAATTACTGCAAACTTATCAACTAATTACTGCAACGATGGCCAAAGTCTATTTTCAAAAATTGACACACCAAGCACAAGAACTTGATGCAGGTTTAAAAACGCTAAGCGAGATATGGAAATTACACCGTATTTTAATTCGTGATTGTGAAGCGGATTCAGCCGAAGCTGAAAGATGCATTCGGAAACTATGGACGGACGTGAAAAGTATTAAAGTACTACATTGTTTCTCTAATGCAACAATTATTCTATCAGTTCATCGAAACTATCAATTATACCAATCTTGCAGGCTGATATACAACATGATGTAGATCAAGTGACAAAGAATTCATTGGACATGGATCAATTTCTTAATGAAACGCGTGAATCCTTTCAAAATGCTAAACAAGAATGCGATGAAATCGAATCGGTTTTTCAAGAATATGGTTATGCTCATTCAACCAGTAATAGTGTTGATATGTAAGTTTTTATTCGTACAATGCATTAAACTTTACCACTGTGAAAATGTATACTTTTGGTTTAGGACAAACAATTCTAGCAGTCTAGATTCCAGTATTATGGCTGAGGATGAAATGGAAGACATTGATATAAAGTTTACTCCTGACATGAAGTGGCATCACAGATCAGGAACCTATGATACACCTATTAGTGTTGAACATAGTTCCGCTAAACCACCTGTATACGGTATTGCAATACCAGTTATTAAAAGTTTGGCATCGGTAAAAGAAAATGAGACCCCAAATGTCCAAAGTGTTGAAATACAACATACTCCATTCCACAGTCGTTTTCAAGAACCTATCTACTCACCACATTTTTATAATTTAGGGAAAAAGTGAATAATAAACTCATTTATTATATTTAATGTTATTTATATTCACTCTTATACTTATATAATGTACAGTAATATACTACTTTAACAATGAATATTGATTCCTAAACGTCATTCTTTTTTAAAACATTCAGTACCTAATCTATTCATATGAGACAGACCTAGAATGTGTTTTTTAATTCACTGCAAGTGCTGTGCACAATGTTGTATGTGTATCAGATACATTACAGAAAAAAGACACAACAATGTTTATAGTGCTTAAAGTAGTTGCAATAGATGTACGAAATACACTCCCTAGTAATCAATTGCACTTCAGTTCTTTCACAGAAACTTCTTGTCCAACACTATATCATAACCTACCTATCAATTATAAATCAAGAATTACAAACATAACCTAAATAAAGAAGAAAGTATGATACACAACAGTCTTCGTATCAGAACTGTATATTCCACCAAAGAAATGTTTGTCAGTGAAAAATATCAGTCATACTTCTGTTTCAAATTCATACTCAACTGAATAACCAAACACAGCATAACCTAAAAGAGCAACCAAAGCCATAAATATGGGTAAGCTCGACTTATTTACAATTTTCATAATTTCTGACAATGAATAACCTACCTGGTTTTATATCAGAAACGGAAGTGAAGCTTTGCCAAGGAAAAGACGTTTTCGAGCGAATGAATTATTTATATCAGGTAAGTGTATATCGACGGCCGGTTCTTATTTCGAATCGTTGAAAAAATAATCATTTAATTCAAGGCAAGCCAATTCGTCGCATCGAAAAATAAAACCGTAGCCTCTTACTATGGGAACGTAATGGTGAACTGTGGCAAGAAAGCCGTGTTACGTATGTAAGTTTCAAAAGTCAAATATCTAAGTATATATTACAAATTGGCAAAATTGAATACCAAGTGTAAATGAAATCATCTCAGGGAACCAGACTTAAAGAGGAGCATATGCAAGAGTTGTCAGACTCCTCTTATACCAGGTGAAACGGCAAGAGTGAGACTTGGATCGAAACCCAGAAAACTCATCAGGTGGACGTGTTTAACTTGCAGAAGTATTAAAAAATTTCCTACCAAACAAGGCCATAAATTATGGAGCGATCAAGCCGAATCTATCGTTCAAATATTTGATTATGCTCGGTATTCAAAGATGGCCAATGGGTCGTCAGTTCAACCTGATTCACATTATGTTAAGACAAATCCTCAAAGTGAAGCCATGAATTCGGCCAGTGACGAAAAACCGAGTGGAGAAAGTGTACGGGAAATCCATAGCAAGGAAGATAAGGCGAGCATAATTGAAATAAAACAAGTTGAGTAATCACTGCTACCGGAAATTATGGAACCCAGTAATTACGGTCTACTTTCACAGTGAAACTAAATAAACATCACGGACTAAATCACAGCGGTATATTAATTATTAAAATCCTAAGACAATACTCAAGTACGAATATTTTATATTAATTGCTTACATAAAATATGTTACAATATTACAATCAGTTTGTAATCGATAAACAGACAGTTTTTCTTCACTAATAACTGGAACAATCATAACTCATATAACGATCTAATAATATTATATAGTATCAATAGTAATATTATATTAAACATTCTTGGTAATTAACTTATCCGAGTTAAGTTACTTGTTTTCGAGTACGAGATACATCGTAGGGCGACTATATCACTTTTAAGAAATTTCGAGCATCCCTACTTCCTCTGGAACGGAATAGTCGATGTATCGGTATTGCATTAAAGCGAAGGACGTGCCAATTTTTTTTCTATCGAGGAAGTTCAAGATGACGCGCGTGTATAACACGATATCGAAAATCCTTATCAGTGCCACTAATTCACCTATATTTACCTATGATATGACTATGTCCGCCCATCGCCCGCGATTCGCCCGAGTACTATAAAAATGAGTTGGCGTACCTCGCAGCGATCAGATCGGTGATCGTATGCCGATCGATTCTAATGAAGGTTGAAAAATAAGATTTAATAAATGCGTACCAGGACAGCGGCATTGATAAACTCGGAGTTTTCTATAGGTGCGAGTAACAAAGGTGACTATTAAGTTCCGAGTGATATATTATTTGAGCAGCTGCACGATCGCGACGAGATGCCATTGTAAACATAAAACTTCGAGGAAGACATGAAAGGCTCATTTGCCTTGAATTAAAAATAGAAAGAAACGATAGGGAATTGGGCTAGACGGAATCTACACATTCAATTATATACATATATCTGTCGTGCCAAGCTTCGGTCGTTTATTTCACAGTGACTATGATGCAACATTTCTTTCTTTCGTTTCTAAAGTTACCCTAATTACGTTAGATAGGACCCAGGTTGGCAACGCACACATATATACATGCACACACCGGCTATAGGTAATGTTTACTCAATTATAATTATCAATGGCCGATCATCGTGGCTCCCCGTCTCATGGCTGCTCCCAGAGTTGCGAGTAGCACTCGTTCGTTTTGAGAATCTCGGGGGAAAAGTCCAAAGGTCAGAGAGCATATGAAATACGGGACCATGTCCAACGTATAATAGTATTAAGAGTCATCTTCGGAGATATCCCCGAGAGTCGCAGCATCCTCTGGACAAGCGTTTCCCTCCACGCAATCTTCACCATACTACCCGGTTATTGTCAAAGTGGCACATGCGCGCCAAATGCGTTTCTCGTCAAAGAATCCTTAGTCTCACGAGGACGGAGACGGAGAGAAACGGTGTACGACGACGAGAGTACGTATTGATCAAAGAGATTCTCTCTCTCTCTCTCTCTCTCTCTCTCTCTCTCTCTCTCTCTCTCCCTTTCTCTCACTCTTTCTTATGTGAGCACCATTTTACACGAGCCCAGAAACGAACTGTGGTTGACCATCGCGATTCAGAGTTAACTGAGGAACGACGTTTGAGGTCGCTGGCTGGAATGTTGATCCTTGGAATCCCATTGCTGATTCGTAGAGCTATAATCAGAAAGAATGATCTCGGTCCATGAGAGGAGGTTGCTGACTTTGACAATTCTTTAGAAAAATCTCTGCCTTTTAATACTCACATTATGATTTCCTGGAAGGGTAGTATAGTCAGGAGTGGTTGGTCGATGTCTGTTTGGTGGTAATGGGTGCTGAATGGTAGCATAAGTATTGTCTTGTGACGTATCACCCATACCGACACTCACACCACTTCCGCGTCTCTCAGTGCCAAGACCGGCTTCCGGTTCGCTGAATACTTGCATAGTCAGTTCTTGTTCTTCGTAAATCTTCAATTTCCTATGATAATTATTAATTCACAGTCTCGTACCAGGTTGAATAACACAAAAAGATCCGATCATTACTCACTGCTCAATCCATAATGGATTCTCTGTAGTGTTCAGTTCATCGATGATTTGCTTCTTGATTAAACCATCCTTCTTCCGTATATCACTCGGTACGGTTATTACCCTGAGCATTACGAAAGGGTATAGTGCCTTAGATATTATTCAGGTTTTTAATCTGATGAAAAACTCACCAGTGACGTAAGCAACAGCACACCACCGTTACTGTAACGGCACCAACCAGTAAAACCACCAGCAGTGCTATTAAAGCAGCTAGAGCTGGATCAAATGGTTCCTCCTGCGCTCCCACATACGCCGGCTGGAATGGACGAATAAGTTATCCCTCGGACTATTAGGAATTTCATTAGCAGATCGTAAAGTCGAATAAAACCCTATTTGACTCACCACAACGTTTTCTATGGCGAACCCAGTGTAATACTCCTTGAGGAAGTCGTATTTAGCATCTATGACTCTGAGTACTTGGGGCACGGGTGCAATGGTCTGGGCATTGGTATCCACTACATGTAGATACATATCGCACCTGCAAGATAACACATATAAAGAATTTTTCCTGACTATAGGGCACAATGAAGAAAAATTTATACCAATCTCTGCGTATATGACCGGAAGCGTCGACGTGATATCTGATATCGTCGACAACTACTCGGCTCTGAGTAGCGTTGGACAATTCTGCAACTATCTCATCCCGTTCCCTGTTGACCTCCTCGGGAGGTCGCGAGAGAATGACCCTTATCAATTGCGATGGCTCGAATACCCAGACCTGGTGGGGGTATAAAATAATTTAGAAAACGAATAATGCGGAACGTATTAGATCTACTTTTTAAAAAGAGTAACTGACGTGAACTTTGGTGAGTGCGTATCGCTCCGGTGATGCCGTCTCTTTGGCGATAACCTCCACGATAAATCTGTCCTGGTTGTACTCAGCCATGTAGCCACTGGTAAGGACTTTGCCATCCTGGGTCACACTGAAGGGGCTAGGAACAATAGCACCGCTCAGCTTATCGGATCCATACTTATACAAATTTGCACTGGCGACATAATAATGGAGCGTCCCATTGTCGCCTAGGTCGGGATCAGAGGCAGTGACCTTAGCTACTACGTCATTAACGTTGGCCATCGAATTGATTCCCGCGTAGTAATCGCTTCTCTCGAAGACAGGGGGATTATCATTCTCATCGAGAATCACGATAGTGACGTTCACGTGACCGTGGTCAGTATCAGCCATTGTTATTCTACCGTTATCACCAGATCCCACGTACAGATCAGGATCATTGGCAGCAAGGATTGACAAAACATAACTGTCTCGGGTTTCACGGTCAAACGATTTATTCGTATAGATGCTACCGTCTGATTTATCAATATAGAAAGCACGCTCCTCGTTTCCTGCTTCTATATAGTAATAAACCCTCGCGTGTCTACCCTCGTCCTTGTCCTCGGCGATCACTTTACCAACGAAGTAATCCTTTGGACGATTTTCCGGCACGTTGAACGTGTACTCGTCGTAAAATTGAGGTACATTATCGTTCGTGTCTACCAGCAACACTGTCAGCAGTCGTAGCGTCTCATACGTAGTCGGACTGCCATGATCGGCCGCTACCAGGACAAGTTCAAATTTATTTTTGACCTCACGGTCAAGTATTATTTTGGCACGCAGTTCACCGGTTTCTCGATCGATCGTGAACTCCTCAGTTTCTTGCACGTTTTTGTTACCAACTTTCAAGTGGTAACCTACCCTTCCATTTTCCCCAGGATCACGATCCGAGGCTTTGACAGTCATTACTAAGTAATTTGGCACTCCGGCATTCTGAGGGGTGATACAAAAAATGAATGTTAATTATTTCACAACGAATCCACGACACGAGGTACGGGATATGAATCTTACTTCTGGAACTTCAACTGTGGCATTTGGTAATTCAGGCATAATAAACTCGGGCTTGTGCTGATTAACGGGCAGGACTCTGACATCGACAGAACATTTGTCAGAATGTGGTCCACTTCCGGCACCGTCCCTGGCTTCCACCTCGATTCTGTACGTGCCTGCTCTACCCAGCAGAGCGACACCTGGATAAAGGATACCAGTTTCTGGATTCAAGACAAACGACTTGTTCTCATTTCCACTGACGATCGTGTACCAGACCTCGCCGTTGAGTCCCTCATCAGGGTCTGATGCTCTCACCTTGACAGATCCAAAGCGATATCATTTTCTATAGTACGTAACATTATAGTCTCACGCAAGAGTTCAAGGTCAAATATGTACCTGAAGAATGGGAGCTGGTGGATTGACAGATAAATTCTCAGCAACGGATGCTCTGTAACTGTGCTGACTAAATATGGGTCTGTTGTCGTTAACATCAATCAATTTTATATGAACGGGGACCGTAGTGCTCTTTCTGGAATTCAATGGCGCCCCGTCGCTTGCCATCACGGTGATTGTAATATCTCGTGTTATCTCTCTGTCAAGCACCGTAGCGCCGCCAACTGTTATTTCGCCGGTCTCGTGCCCTAAGAGTGTAATATATGAGAAAAAGTTTACGATTGGAAAAATGTTCCAAAATCTCAGCCAACGTGTTAGCTTCTAAACCCACCTATATTAAAGTCAGAGGCATTCTTTCCGATTAGACTGTAGCTGACTTGACCAAAGACACCCTCGTCACTGTCACGAGCTTTTACGACAGTCACGTGAGTGCCAGGGGGTGAGTTCTCTTCAATGGATGCGTTGTAGGACTCTCGTTCAAACTGCGGTGACTGATCATTCACATTGATGACAGTAAGAGTGACTTTGGCGGATGATGAAAGTTGAGGAACACCAGAGTCATAGGCCACCACTGTGAACTCCAACTGTTTGGTTTCTTCGTAATCGATAACCTGACTGGTTCGCACTATGCCTGAATAGAGCGAATACATATTTTTGTTTAAAACATGAAAAGGCTTACTACCCACGGAAGAGCTAAGACGGTTACGTACCAGTGACGTTATCTATCTTAAAGTAGGAACTCGGCGGTTCAATGGCATATCCTGCGATATTGCTATCAGCATCAGTAGCAGTAAATGCACCAACCACTGCGCCAGTCGGTTGTTCTTCCTGCATTTCAATGGAATAACGTGGATCCTCTCTTGTCCATGGCTTTGCAAATTCCGGTGCCATGTGATTAACGTCAATAATAGTAACCACCAGAGTGCCTACAAATAACTTCATTTTACAGGCATCCATTACATAAAGACATAAATCCATATCAGAGCCTATATACCCACCCATTCCCTGTTGGAGGGTCGGTGCGGAGGTATCCGTGACAACGACTGTGATGCTGACAGTAGCAGCGATGTCTCTATCCAGAGGTCTGACAACGGAAACCTGTCCAGTTTTTCTGTCCACAGCAAAAAAGTCCTAAAACAGAAAAAGGTTGCTAGACGCTATTTTAAGATTTCCAACAAAGATCGAAAGAAAAAAAATAATACTCAAGGACCACTTGCCTTGAAGCTCCTATTATCGCCCGTGACTTGTTGGCCGTTCCTATCGATGGCAGTGATCGGTTCAGAAATAGCGAAATTCAGTGCCTCGGGAACGGTGCTATCAGGATCTACAGCCTTGAGGGTTGCGAATACAGTCCCGATAGCGGTATCCTCGGTGACCTCGGCCCGTTGGGTCTCCGGCGTGAAATAAGGTGGCTTGTCGTTACTGTTCTCCACTTTTATCATGAGCGTGGTGGTTCCGGTAAGACTTGGCGTTCCTAAAGGCAGAGTAGCATGAAAATGATCAAGCCCATCCCGGGTTATGGAAGGAATATCAGTGAGCCGTGTAATATCGAGTGACGTACCACCATCAAAAGCGATGACCTCAACATGGTAGGTATTCCTCTCGTCAAAGTCGAGCTTACGTGAGACCGTGATAGCCCCGGTGCTAGAATTTATGGCAAAATCGTCAGAAGCTCCTTTCTGAATTCTATACACAAGCTCTGCGTTGATGCCGCTATCCGCATCGGTAGCAGTAATCTCATCGACGACGGTTCCTATCAAGATGTCAAGAATTCTTAACAAAACATCCTTGTCACTCCCCGTCCAGATATTCTAAGGAAAGCTCACAGTCTCTACGCTAGGTCTAAGATAGGATCGAGGGTAGCTGCACGCTATTACCTATGGCCGATGTCTCCGGTATACTAGCCGTATATAGATCATGCGGGAAGACTGGGGCATTGTTGTTAACGTCTCGCACGGTGACGTTGACGAGGGCAGTATCCGTGAAGGTACCGTCGCTGGCCTCGACCGAAAGAGCTATCCAATCGCGAGTGGCATTGGTCACGTCCAGAGGACTCTTGTTGGCGATCGTTATCTCCCCGGTGTCTGGGTCTATCGCGAAAAGACCCTGGTCGTTTCCACCGACCAAGGAGTAGGTGATCTGGGAGGCCTTGTCTCTGTCTCGCGCCTGGACTTTCAGTTCCGGTTCGAATTTCTCGGCACCCTCGTCGATCACAGCGCGATACTTCTCTTGAAGGAATCGCGGTGGACTGTCGTTCGCGTTGAAGAGACGCACCAAGAGGTCGACGCTGGTGGTCTGACCCTTGCCGTCGTCATCGGTCGCCTATGGAACGACCAATAAAGTCTCAGTTACGGCCAATCCCAATGGGCTTTGCGGATTGAATCGCAGCGGTAACGAGGTGTTATACCTTGTACGTTAGGAAGTATTCGGATTGAGTTTCGTAATCGAGACAGGGTGGTGTTCCTGGGGTTGGACAGGGGGCTACGACGATGGTTCCAGTTCTCTTGTCGACGGAAAAGTGTTCGGCGCCAGTGCCCAGCAGCTGATAGACTATACCGGCCGTCCCGTAGCTACAACGAGTGATAGTGGTTGATGATCAGTTTTATTAATCAATTTATATTATATTAATTTGATAATCAATTTCACACTCACCGTCCGCTGTCACGGTCCTTGGCAGTGATAGTCGCCACAGTTGTTCCAGGAGCAGCTACTTCGGAGACGTCGGCCGTATAAGGCGGGCTGCTGAAGGAAGGAGCATTGTCATTGGCATCGGTAATGGTGACGATCACTGTAGCCGTTGACGATAGCTTCGGATCCGTGTGAACCTCCTCGGCAATGACCTACGTATCGAATGCATTAGGTTGCCTTGCTGGTATTGAAAAAGAAAAAAGAAAAACTCATTGAATCTTCCTACCAGAATAATAAATTTTCGCTGATTCGGATTCTCGTAGTCCAGGGAGCCATTGGTGACCCGTATGTTGACTGCCGTGCTACCGGTGGCCATTGTTGGCTCAACCGTGAATGCTCCGGTGAAGTCATCCAATCTCAGAGAGAATACAGAATTCTGACCCTGGGGAGAAAGAGAGTCGGAGAGAAATAAGAAGAGGACTGTGACGTGGGAAGATTGTGAGGTTCGGGACATGGTATCCTACTCACTACGTCCGGATCCTTGACGGACATGTCCAGGTTGGGCAGTGGAGTGCCGTCGGGAACATTTTCCGGAATCTCAATGTTATATTCACGTCGATTGAAGGTAGGCGGTTCGTCATTAACGTCTTTAATGGTGACAGTCGCTTCCGCCGTGGATACTGTCAAATTGTCATTACCGGAAACCCCATCGATCACCTCCTGAGCCTTGATGGTGAGTGTCAACACTCCCGTCGAATCCTCCAAGGCTTCGCGGTCCAGCGGTTTCGCCGTCCTAAGTTCGCCGCTCTCAGCATCCAAGAGAAAATAGTCGAACGGATCTGAGAATGACGAAGCACATTTCACTCGTGAGACACACCTCGAGAGTATTCCAAGAAAAGAAAGAAAGATCATCCGCAGCCTACTTGTCACCAGCTGGTAGACCACCTTCCTGGGCATTCCGCGATCGCCATCGCGCGCCTTCACAGTCATCACCAGAGTCCCTATGGGATCGTCCTCTCGCACGACCCCGGTCAGGGAGTCAATGAATTCAGGCGGAGTGTTCTGAATGTCAGCGACCTTGATCTCCACTCCGGTGGTGCTGTTATTAGTGCCGTCCTGGTCGCAGGTAAAAATACCAAGTCTCGATCAGTACGAAAGGATCAAAGGATCAAGATTGAGAAACGTTCGGATTGTAATTTGACTCACGCTGGCCAATAGGAGCAGCTGATAGAATGGCCTCTCCCTGTAGTCGAGTGTCTGTCGCAGGACCAACGCCCCTACGTAGGTATTCTCGCTCTTCTCCACGTCGACAATCCCGAACTTCTCGCAGGCATCAGGAAACTGCCGAATAATCGAGAAAGGCTCGATCAGAAGAAACAAAAGAAAAACTCTCTAAAGAATTAATGACCCCGCTCGATCCTCAGGACTTTCCCCGGTCCCAGCCTGAACGACCTTACTCTCCTCTTCAATCTGTTCCACCGTCTGGAATCCATCGTCCCCGCGCTGGATGAACGAACATTAGCACCTGCTCCGTCGAGCGGAGCCCGACAGCCCGACAGTGTATAATGACGTTTCTTTTTCAACCAGTCACAGCGAAAGGATCCATCGTAGGACTGGAGGACCAGCAGAGGCTGCGTCAGTCGGAGGAAGCTGCAGCTGTAGATTCTGCTCGTATGGGAAGTACACGTGGGAGGG